CCCCCACAAAAAAAAAAAAAAAAAAAAAAAAAAAAAAAAAAATAAAGAAGTTGTTAAGATATGCCAAAAAAAAAAAAATAATAATAAAATTCTTCTAGACCTTCAAATATTGTGATGATGAAGTCCTAAATCTTGAATTCTAGCTCCTGGAGTCTCGTAACTGTACAAACGCTTGCGGCTGAGGTCAATTTTTTGATGAAATAATCATTAATTTTAATGAAAATGTAAATTTTATCTTTTCGTTCTTCTTTAATACTTTGATGTTGAATGTTGTTTTACAATTTTAAAATTTTATAAAAATGGTGAATGAAAATAGCGGCTCTAGCTTCTTCTTTTTTTAAAAACATTTTTATAAAGCTTGAACATATGATTTGAAACTAGATGCTCAATGTTGTGCGGTTAGCTGTGGTCCATTGAGCTACTTCTTTAAGTAAATTTATTTTTATCTTCAACTAATGTAGGTTGAATAACTAATTTATCAATTTAATCAGTAACCCGATGATCCGATGATTTAATCTGATTAATGATCAGAAAATTGATTTTTTGACCCTTATTTTACTATTCAAGTCATAATTTTTGATTTCTTCTCTCATATGTGGACCCCACTTTTCTTCTAACGGTCAAAAAATCAATTCTCCAAATCCCTACCAAACGGACCCCTAATAACTAAACATGAAACTTTTTAATATTTTTCTTCTTTAGCCTTTGTTTGTCAAAATTTATAAATCATACTTCATTTTCAATTATGTATTTCAGTGGATCCACCAATGTTATTTACTTATTTACCACTTGTATTAAATAAATAGTTTATAAATTGTTCTCATGAATTTGAATTTTAATGAAATGGATTGAATAGTAACTTAGTGAATAGAGCTTAGCAATAGCACACATGCGAATGTGTATTCATGTAAAGTAATAGAAAAAATCAAAATCTTATATAATGAATTGTGCACATAAAATTAGGCCCTCGTTCGGTAGCAATTTTTTTACCCAAAAAAATTAATTTTTTGATTATTATTTCACTATTTCAACTGTTATTTTTGACTTCTTTACTTACATGTGGGATTCACTTTTCTATCAAATGGTCAAAAAATTAATTCTTATAATTGCTACCGAACATGGCCCAAATCTCTTTTTAATGATATTATTCTAGTGATGGCATTTTTCTACTATGTTTATAGATTTAAATTAAAAAGTATTAGGAAAATCTTTTGTCAATCTTTAAGAGGAAGGAAATAGGCAGCTGTGTCTGCAAAAGGTTCCCTCCTATTCAATTCAAGAAACTCGGAAAATGGGTATGTTTTTCTTCTTATAACTCCTTCCTATATTAAAAACAGGTAATGGGCCAAGAGTTAACATGTTTTCAAATGGGCAATTTTGGATTATTGTGCAGTTTTTTTAGGTGAATTCCATTGATTTAACCTTGTGAACCCAGAAAAAATCTGCTGATTTTAGCATGTTTCTTACATTGTCAGATTTCTAACAGCAAATAAATTTGTCCATAGGGTTTTCCCTAGACTAGAAGAGAATTAGCTTTGAAAAAAGGAGAAAAAGGTGAATGTCCAATTAGGACAAGCACATCTGACTTTTCTAGATCAGGAAGCACCGGCCCGTTATCCTTCCACTGCAAGAAACGAGAGGCCATCGCTGCTCTGTAAAGCCAGCCTGACGCGGTCTCCTCTGCTTTAGGAACCAAGCAACTCAAACTTTCGCTTGAACCACATGGTCCAATTCCTTGCTTGGAATGGGCAGACCAGTTTGATGCAAACCTAAATCCAGTCGGTGGGCTTGAACAGTGTTCAGACACCTTGATGCCCCCACTTGGGTTACAAGCTCACGTTACTAAGCTCGGCAGTTGGTGAATAATTTGTGTTGATTATAAAGTGGTTTAATCTTTGATTATATTTCGATGTGGGACGGTGAAGTGGTCTGAAGTTTTTGATTATTTTAAAAAATAAGAAACTTTTCAAAAATGTTGAAGAAAATAACGAGAGCGTGGAATTTTAAGAAGCAGAAGCGATGGCTGCTTTATAAACTGTCTGGTTTGCATTAGATTAGACTCACTTGTTCTGCAAATTATACACATTCCTGGAACATTTAATGGCACAGCTTACTGAATATTTCTACAACTTTTTGAGGAAGATCCTTCTGTGATGAACACAATCTTGAAATATACTAATTAATCAGTTCCAGATTCTGAGATGATATTTTGCATTGGATAAGATCAGTTGAATATTATTTGTCTACTTTTTTCGAGGGAATTATTCTCGTAAAATTGCAATGTATACTGGTTTCCACAAGTATGAAACCCAGGAAGAACAGCTGATGAATGATGATAGACTAATAGTGTTGTGGTACATAAACCTTATTTACGAGTATTGCAAAGCTGTGTTATGTTTAATACGTAACACTTCACAACATTCTACATGATAATGTCAAGATTTCAACTTCTTTTTCTTTCTTAATCTTGTTTAACATCTATATTTTAGCATACCAAATGTGGCAGCAATTGCTCGATCAATGGCCTTTTACTATTCCTCCACTGGATTCCCCACTCTAGTGGTAGTGAGCCGAGGAAAGGCAATGAAAGTTCGATTCCGTGTTTGGGCCTCATTTCATTCTCGTAAGGGAAATGAATGAACCAAAAAACCAGAGAAATTGATCACTTACCTCCCATCAGTAGACCGTCTTTTCAGTTATTTTAAGTCATTTCCTAAGCTACGATAATCCAAGCTGCAGCTTCATGAGTCTGCTCGGAGTCGGTCTTTAATTTATATGCAATTCAGTTGAAATGAATAGCATCAAGTAACAAAAAACCACTGCCAGGGGAAGAAAATGAACTAATTAAAAACAAGTGTTATATCCATCCTTGAAGATACCATACATCAATGTTATAAATCTACAAGGGGACATTATTTTTCACTATATATATACACAGTACTCATATTTAACTTCAAACTAACTTTACATAGCCCCCAGCCAGATAAAAGGAAGGAAAACTTAACCTGAATAGACACGACACTGCAAATGGCTAAAATGCTACCAAAAAGAACTGAAGAAACAACCAGAAAATGACACCCGCGATTTGAAGTTTCATGTACACGCAGAACAGGTTTGACACTTTAAAGATTACAAAGCTAATGACAATTGAAAGTTACATTGTGACCCTTCGAATTGGCTCTTTTCAGCGAGTCTCCAGCATTAGTTTGACATTGGAGCATCGAAGAAGATGAAACACTGCGTTGGAAAACCGAGGAAGGGCTCTTTAGGATTCCTTTAATGGGCTTTTTACCTTTGCCGGAATCATCAGACGACATACCCTCTTTATCTTTAGCACATGCAATGCAATCACACAGCTGATTACCCTTACAACCTTCTGTATTATCAAGATCATCATCAGATGAATCCTCTTTAAACTTAGAGTGAAAAGAATCATCATTGGAAACGTCCTCTTGAACTTTGGCATAGGCGTGACGATTTCCAAAAGGCACCTCCAAACATTTGGTATTGACAGGAATGTCGTCGTCTAGCCTATACGCCATTTCTCCTCCTATCTGAAAACGAATATCATGAACTTCATCGGGAACTTTACTTTTATGGTTTTCCTTCTTAAGCTTAGGCAATTTGAACCATCCTTCTGCGAATGAAGGTAGAGAATTTAAATTCTTAAGAAATGAGATTTTCTTTGGAGAATCCCCCAACTTTTTCTTGTCGTTGCCAGCAATCAATCCCATGGCAATGGTGCTGGTAATGAAAAGTTGACAGATTGCACATTTGATTTGCTCGTGTCTCTCAAAAGATGAAGCCTCTGTCAAGCCTATCATTCTCTTGATCCCAAGAACTTTACGCGCTAATTCTGCTAGTTCCCATCTCTTATATTTTGAATCTTTGAGGATTTTGGCAGCTAGATAACCAACATCTACTTTGCTTTTAGTCAATCCCAATTCTTCAAATGGGAACAAATCTTTCTTCTCAGGAATTCCAAAGCCCACAAAATGAATTCTCTCATCCGTAAGAAATTTGCGGATTTTAGCAGGCAATGGTTCCCCGGTGTGAAATCTGAGGATCACACAACCAACACCAAAACACAATAGCATCAGCAGAATGAATGGATCTCGCGGGTGGGGCATAACATTGAGGCCAACAACAGGTGGACTAGCCCAAATCTTTCCATCCGGGAAGAGAAAATCCATCATGCACAAAGATTCAAAATCCTTCGTTTTGAATGTTATGCCTTCAAGTTTAACCTCAAAGCAATTGGTTCTCAAGTACACAGTCCCTGCCATGCTGAGAAGCTGATGAATCTTGTTCTGTCGGGGATATTAGGGCTGTTATATGTCGTAAAATATAAAATCAAAACATAAAGATATTTGAAATCTCAGAACATCAATGATCAAACAACTCTTTTTTGAAGACAATAAATCTGAACCAAATTTGCAGGTAAAAAGCGTAGATCCTGATTCAGGCACAAGGCAAAAGCATTTCTTACTAGAATGAATGCTATGCAACTGCAAATGGAGGAAAAGCAGCGAACCTAATGGTTCTTCAAGATTGAACGCCGAATTATTTGTATGACAACAATAGATAGCCGCCATTAGTGTCCCTTCGATATTTAAAGCCACAGATTTCTAACTGATTTTTGACAATTCAGCTAAATTAGTGCTTCTCCACAAATTAAGAGGTTTAAGATAAGTTTTTTTGACTCCATTAAACAAGGGAAAACTCCTTGATTTTCTCAAGAATCCAGAACAATTTTAACTGTCGTAAAATAGAATCTGCAGTTATATTAATTTCATATTTCAAAAAATCCAACTAAGAAAGAATTATTGGAAACAAATACTGCGCTGCCGTCTTACACGATTCACTGCCTGCACCCATGTCGTATAATTCATCAGTCAACTTGTTACGCCCTGAACTGAACCCGCGAGGTATCTAACTCTCATACGAAGTGGTTCCGCTTCGGAAAGTCCGCCATCATGTCAGCTGATATGTGGAACGCTCATACGAAGTGGTCCCCCAAGTGGTTCCAATTGAGGTGATCTACTATCACACTATGAGGCATAGGTAATTTTGCAAAACTGGCCGAAGCAACCCATCCCCCTGAATCCGAGGCGAAGCGATCCCTGTGGACCTCGACCTGAAGATTTGCCGTCGATTTCAGAATGAGATCTTTGTCAATATCTTTTCTGCCCCTAAGGTTTAAAGTGATTTGACGTCTCCATGAGGCTAGTTGATGTGACCTATCAATTTTATGTCAACTCAATTCAGGAGAAATAACTTCCCGCCCACTCTACAGATGCGGCTGATTGACGCCCATGAACAGACGCCTCATACCGTTCAAATGTATACACGTGTCTCACATCCAACGGCTCTTCTCACCTATAAGTACTGACATCATTTGCTTACATTGTTGAGTTTCTTGAATGCTTATGTGTGATTTGCTTGTTTTATGTGTTTGTGTTTTTATTTAAAAAAAAAGAAATTTTTTTTCGTGTTTTTGCATGCTTGTGTGTGTTAGATAACCTTGCCGGTATTGATATGTGTAATTGAGAACATGCATTGATTTATGAATTGTGGACGAGTTATGTGTTTGAGTTAGATTTTTGCTTATTCATGTGAAACGAAAATCATTTTTTTGCATGTGAGTTGATTGTAGCGTTGTGCATGAGGAGGTTGATTCACATTTATAGATTGAAATAGAGAATTTAGATGCTAAACTCAAACAACCATTAAACATCACAATACCCTTAAACCAAACTTAGGACGTTTGAATGATTGTACTGTTGTAGGGAAATTTGGAGATAAATGTGGATTTCGTATGTGTTAATTTTTATGTGGATTGTCTGAGACCAATATGATGAAAATTGGGTGAAAACCTTAAGTTAGAAGTCAATTTTCGAGGATAGGTATTTAAGAAGGGGCATTGCACTAATCACCGTATAAACAAAAAGATCCCAATGATGACAACTTTAATAATCTCATTGTGAATCGTCTCTTCGTAGCCTTTATGACTCGAGTGATTAAGCCTATAAGGCTTTAAAACCCGGTGCTCTAAAGTCATCTGATTTGGGAGTTATCGGTATAAAACTCGCTACAAGGGTCATTTAGAAAGTTTAAGGGAGAGACGTCCGCACAAAGAGTGATTAAAGAAAAAAGATATATATGAAAAAAAAAATTAAAAAAAGAGAGAAAAAAATAGATATCAAATGCCTTGATTAAACCCCGAACACTTGTTTTAGAGGATTAGACATTTGATAAAGGGTTAATAACTTGGTTGATTCCTAGAGGTTGAAGCAGTAAAAAATAAAGAGAATCCTCATTTGTTGACATGTGGAACTACAATCAGTAAAATCTAACCAAACTTGAGTTGTGTAAGAAATTAGTATTGAAAATTTAACTTTAGGTTATACTCTTGGAAAGAGAAAAGAAAATAAGTTTGGGGGTGTGTGAATCCCACGAGCAAAGTAAGGAAAAATTTGACTTCTAAGGTTGGGAATTGGGTCAACTTATTATTGTACAGCGTTGCACTTGACTCTCTCTCCATACAAACACATACCCATTTTGCATTAAATAGGTGAGAATTTAGCTTTTACATTATAACTTTGAAGTGGTCCATGGAATCGAAGTTATGTTTTTAATCCTGAGACATGAAGGCAAGTTATCTAGTGAAATTTATTTTAAGTGATTTTGTTTATACAGACCATGCAGCTCTAAAGTATTTGTTTGAGAAGAAGGACGCGAAACCAAGGCTAATTCGCTGGGTGCTGTTACTACAAGAATTTGACATCGAGATTTGTGATAAAAAAGGAGCAGAAAATCAGGTAGCGAATCACTTATCAAGGATAGAGCAACAACAGGATTCAGATGATATGAATATTAATGAGGTTTTCCCAGATGAACAGTTACTACAAGTAGAAAAAGCTCCGTGGTATACAGACATTGTTAATTACTTAACCAGTGGCTATATGGATCCGGACTAACCTATCAGCAAAAGAAGAAGCTCAGTCATGAAGCGAAATTCTATTACTGGGATGATCCAAATTTATATAGGAGAGGGACGAACCAAATCATTAGGAGATGTGTGCCTGAGGATGAAAGAAACCAATCCTTTCACGAGTACATACTTCGGCTTATGGAGGGCACTTTGGCCCCACTAAAACAACAGCAAAGGTACTCCAATGTGGTTTCTTTTGGCCTACATTGTTCAAGGACTACCACAATTTCTGTAGGTCATGCGATAAGTGTCAAAGAACAGGTAACATATCAGCGCGTCACGAGATGCCACTTAACAACATTTTGGAAGTGAAAATATTTAATGTCTGGGGGGTTGATTTTATGGGTCCGTTTCCATCATCTTACAACAATCGGTACATCCTGGTTGCATTGGACTATGTTTCAAAATGGGTAGAAGCTAAAGCATTGCCTACAAATAACGCAAGGGTGGTGTGGACTTCATAAAGAAACACATATTTAACAGCTATGGATCACCTAGGGCCATTATAAGTGATGGTGGAACGCACTTCCACAATCGGTTGTTCCAGGCAGTTTTGCATAAGTACGGAGTACAACATCGAATTGCCACTCCTTATTACCCTCAAACAAGTGGAGTTATTGGTGAAATCACAAACGAAAGGAGCACGTGCAATAACAGCTGGTCCATCATGCGAGAACTGCGGGGCTAATCATTGACATAAAACTACACATCTATAGGCTATCCCGACGAGCAGGTCAATTTCATTCAGAATGGGTCTCGAAATTTTAATCCATTTGCTCAAACGTAAAACCCAGGATGCAAACAACACCCAAACTTCAAATGGTCGGATAATCAACAAGGGAACAGTTCAAATAATGCCCAACAGGAAAAAAAACCAATGTTTTTTTCAAAAACTTGTTGTAAAATCTTGTTTCGCAAGTATATGACCCATAACAAGTAATAGTCGACCTAAGAGTCCGGATTGTCAATCCCACAAGGACTATTTTCTAGCACTTAACTAAATTTTTTTAACTACTATTTGACTAAAACAAGTTAAAGGTTGTAAAATCTGGGTTTTAATCTAAATTCTAGAAAATAAATGAATGTTTACACAATTCGTTGGAGAATCAAATAATGAATGGATGTTAGGGTAGAATAACTTTATCAATTGATCACCTGTACATCTCAAATTAAAACTCAATTCTAATGTAGTGTTCGGTCGAATTCTCCTATTGTATTCAATTTATCCCTCTCAAGTTCTCATTGAGCCTATTCAACTAATTAAATTTCATATCTCTATGCAAATTCAACTTAGTTAAATGAGTTCTATGTCTTAGGAATTCAATTATGACAGCAATAAATGGTATATGTATCTCTACTCGTTATACTAATGTACTGTATTTTACTACATGGTCTAAATCCTAAACTCATATCTCTATTTGTAAATAATTCACAAAAATCATCAAATTATTGATCAGATAATTTAATGCATTCAACTCATAGCAAAATCAACACATGGAAGAATTAAAAACTGAAAGTCTTAATAAGAGAATGTAAAAAATCCCAATTGGTTATATTATTCCGCCTAACAATGAATTTAACTACTTATAATACAAGAAGAAAAGTAGGAATTTGTCTTAGAATACATCACCGAGTTTGTAATAAAGATGTAGAAGAAAAAGTAGAATTCTTGCACCAAGATCTCTTTCCTCTTTCAATAAATGCTTCTAATCTTCAATTTCTTGGTGTTAATCTTCTTGAATTTCTCTTTTGAATCTCCATTCTTGTTGTCATCTCTCCAATATGTCAAGAACGTGGCTTGATCCCACAGATTTTTAGTGTGCGGCTCCTCTCTAATTTGGGTCTTCAATTGTGTATTTATAATGTCTTGGAGTTTAGGGAAAGATTTGGAGATGAGTTAGGCTGAGAAAGAATGGTAAAAACTCAAAAAAATTAATCCTGCATGGTGGCGCCTGGGCGCTGTGATTTGGGCGCCTTGTCGCTGACTTTCTGTTGAAATTTCAGCATCATGGCGCCTGAGCGATAAGGTATAGCGCCTGGGCGCTGAGGACTACTTCGTTTGCACTGCACAACTTTCAATATTTTTATCATAATTCTTTCTCTCGATATCCGATTGAGGCAATTCAAGATGCATTGGAAAGGTAACTCAAAGGGCTATAACTTTTTTTCATATATTTTCTCCAATTCAATCGTTTGCTATGTCAAAAAATGAGTCTCAATACGAGGCCAAAAATCCGGTGTAAAACTTTTTGGTTGGAAAATGATTTACGATCATATCTTGACTAAATTTGATCCCTTTGACACCTTCCTTCATCCAATTGGCTTCTAGAACTCTCGGATCTTCATTTCAAGTTTCGACACGACTTTTGATTAATTGCATTTTAATCCTCAAACTTTGGATCTCTTACATTTTGGTCATTTCATCCAATTTCGCTAGCTTTTGCCTGTTTCCTTCTTTTGACCTCATTTAGCTCTTGTTTTCTCCACTTCCATCAATCTACAAAACAACACCAATATCACTTGTTAGCACTTCTAAAAATACTCTCCAAGATAGCAAAATCATGAAATTGATGGCAAAATATAATGAGGGTAAATCACTCATCAAGTACCCAAGGCTTGGCAAGAGGCAAAGGTAATGGAACTCTTCCTATTTAGCACTCCATAGCAAGCAAATATATATTCTTCTCCCTACTATTTTGCACAACCTTGGTACTATTTCAATCACCTGAGCCTAAATTGATCATCGGAGTGTATACGGCCGTCGCCACCAGCGTTGGTCCCGACCGTGTGCATCTGACCGTGCGTTGATTGTGCGCAAGGAAGAATACGTGGAATGGCTATCGGTTGGCCATGTAAAGGGTCCAATTTTCGAGGTCAACAGTTTGGCGCCGTCTGTGGGAAACTTTCCCGTTCAAAGTTCTACATTCTCCACCGGAGAAAACACTAGAAAACTAGTGACTTACCCTGAAAAGGGCATGTTCTTGAAAAAGAATAAAGTTGAGTTATACCCCAAAGTCTCATCACCCTTGAAAAAGGAGATAGAATGAGTTCCAGCCATGAAGACGACAATCCTATGAGAGAGGCCTCTGAAGAAGAGGTGCTCCATAATAATGTCACTCACCAAAGACCCCACCACCGGCGTTGCCGAGGCGCAAGAACAGCCATGCTCACTGAAGAGATGGCTCAAATAGCGGCGGGCATGAGAGACATCGCAGTTCAGAATATGGCGATGCATGAACTTCTCATGCAAGCTCAAGGTCATCAGGGCTATCGAATGCCCCAAGGATCTTACCCGGTGCATGAAGCCCCTGTATCTCGTTCCCGAGGCCATATAACCCCTCGAAAGAGAAGTGGGCGTGGAAGCAACATCCTATGTGCAGGGAAGCCAGCCAGGGGAACCATAGCTAGGGGACAATTTTCCTCAAGAATACGGGGAATAAAAGTCAGTAAGCGTCTTCGACCGAATAGGGAAGGACCCTAGTAATAGGGCCCGCTCAGTGCGAAGATCAGTTCGGAAAGACCAGGAACAAGAACAGGCGCCTCCTCCTCCTAGAAATAGGATGGATAGAAGAAACCTAGTTGATTGGGGAAAGCCGAGGAAAAGCACCCCCACCTCCCCAGGATATTCAAGATGATGAAGGGTCAGATGGGCCCTGTCAATCTTATGAGATTGATGACGATGATGATAACCTCCCTTTTTCAAGGGAAATTCGAAGATTCCCGATGCTGACAAACTTCATGCCTCCTAAGATCCCCAAGTACAAAGGAAATGGGGACTTGGAGAAACACCTCACCAAGTACATGACACAAATGAGCCTTAGGGGAGCCTCGCCTGCTTTGAAATGCAGAGCCTTCCACTTAACCCTGGGCGGAGCTGCTGAAGTGTGGTATAGCAGACTTCCTCCTCTGAGCATTAGGAGTTGGCCAGATTTGAAGAAGGTATTCTTAAATCAATACTCTTACGTAGGGAAGGAGAGGCCCCAGTGCAACGCCTGCAAGACATGAGGCAGGCCCCTTGAGAGACGCTGAAGAGCTATCTCGCCAGGTTTATAGATGAAATCACATACTGCGAACAGGATACTGACAGAAAAGCAGCTCTGAAAGGCAGCCTCAACATGAACACTTTGTTCTGGAGGGACGTACGCAGCAAGAATCCTGCCACCTATGACGAACTGGTGAAAATGATGAGAGTAGAAATTGTCAGTGAGGAAATGATTGATCACCGAAACGTGCCATGCAAGGACTCCCTCCGCCTCAGAGGCAGGTAGGTGAGGACCTGCAGAGCACCTTGTTACTCAACAATGGACTCAAGCAGGTCACACAATAGCTCCCACCTCCAGACAGGCATTGACTTCCACCACATTGAATGCAGTACCGGTATTGGCATATGAGAATGCTCCTGGTGAAGCAAGACCATCCGAAAAAGCCGATAATAATAATAATAAGAAGAAGAAGAAGAATAAGCGATCAAACAGGCCATTGGATGGGGCAAGATTCTGCACTTTCCATCAACTCTATGGGCATGAAACTAGTAAATTCCAAGACGCTAATCGACGTCCAGATCGAGGCAACCCACATCTTTCCAGCAGGAGCGAATATCCTCGCAGATCCACCTCCCCGTACAGGGGATAGATAAGGCATAGAGAGAAATCACCCCGGAGAAGAGAACCAAGAGACCGAGGACAGTCTAGACAGAGAAATCAGGCCCCATTCTCTGGGAGCGAAGTCATCAGGGAGATCGACACAATCATTGGGGGACCTCACATTGGTGGCAACACCAGGAATGCCCAAAGAAATTACACAAGGGAAGTGAAGGACCCGCCAATGATTACCTACATTGTCAACGAGTCACAAGCGACTGATAAGATGGCCCCAATCACCTTCTCCCAGGAAGATGCAGATGGAGTTCACCACCCCAATTGTGACGCGTTGATTGTAAGAGCCGTAGTGGCCAAAAATGGACTAAAACGCATGCTCGTCGACAATGGAAGTTCGGTGAACATATTGTTCAGCTCCACATTCGATAAAATACAAATTGAACATGGGCTGATCCCTATGACCGACCCACTATTCGAATTTACTAGAGACAGCATCGTCCCACGAGGGCGGATCGCTCTGCCCGTTGAGATGGGTTCAGCACCCCTGGTGGCCCAACACTTCATGAAATTCTTAGTGGTAGACCACAGATCGACTTATCATGGAGTATTGGGCAAATCTGCTTTGAAAGATCTTTGGACCGTCATTTCTATCCACTACTTGTGTATGAAATTCCCAACTGAACATGGGATTGCTACGGTCCGAGGCGACCAGATGGGCTTCAGGGCATGTTATTTGCACTCTCTGAGAAAGTTGGAGCCCCAAATTGTTAACGTAATCATAACTGAAGTTGCCAATGAAGCCAGTTTGGTCGTGGAAATGCTCGACGCCCCTAAACAAGGGCATACCTCCGAACAGGAGGAAGACGTCAACATGGAAGAGGCTCCTGAACAAGGACACCCTCTTGATGAGTTAGATCCCCGGATAATTGACTCTGAACTAAACACAACTCCAATGGAAGAACTAGAGACTTTCTCCATCAACCCAGAGGACACTAGTCAGGTCTTGTGAATAGGGAAGGCACTGCCCCCTAAAGCGAAAGAGGAGATGGTAAACTTCCTGAAAAGGAACTTGGATATCTTCGCTTGGAAG